CACAATTTGAGACATGTAAAAGTAACTCATTAAAATTATAAAAAGAATATTTGCACGCATATCAAAATGTGATTTGTCTATAAAGAAGTAAATGAAGCTAAAAAGAAAGTGTTGAAATCACTCACAAACACAATGCCACATAAAAAGCAAAGGGACAAAATGGGCAAAGCAAATAAAAAAGAAAAAGGGCACAAAAGTAAGTTGGGGAGATTTCCCTTTAAAACCAAATTAAAGCCTCTTTAAAATTTGGTTGTATTAAGTGAATTAATTATTTAACTTTTAATTAATTATTATAGAGGCCTTTTATTTTGCTCGTCAAAATCCACCATTTTAGGTGTCCGTCTGTCCCCCTTGAAGCGCAAAATAAACCCTCTCGGCTCTCCCTCTTCCTACACTTTCTCTCACTATTTTCTCACTCACTTTCTCTCCTTCCTCCTCTCATTCCTCATTGCCTGCCTTAACACCAAAACCAAAACTTCAAAACGTCAAAAACCCCAAAAAAAAAAATAGATAAAGAAAAAAGATAACAGAGGAAACTTCCAGAGCTCGTAGCAATGGAAGCTCCCGAGTATTTTCAGAACAGTTTCTGCCCACAATTCACACCGGAAAAGCGCCACTCTTTTGACAATAATAACAATAAGGCCACCAATGGTGGTGGTGGTGGCGGTGGCGGGGACCATTTCATGGTGGAGGACCTTCTCGACTTTTCCAATGACGACGCGGTGATAACCGACGGTGGTGCTACTTTTGATAACGTCAACGGAAACTCCACTGACTCTTCCACCCTCACCGTCATCGACAGCTGCAATTCTTCTTCCTTATCGGGCTCCGAACCCAATGTCATCCCCGATATCGGGTCCAGAAATATCGCCGAAGGCCCATTCTCCAGTGACCTCTGCGTCCCGGTATATACAATAAATTGCATTTTGCTGCTTCTCAATTGTCATTTTTCTTTTCCTGGGAAAATTCATTTGTGAATTTGTTTTTCAATCCCAAAACAAAACGACAAAATCCATGATTGAATGAAATTCTCGGCGTTACGTAATTGGCTACAGTTCTGGGAAATTCGAAATTTGAATTCAATTGGGTATTTTTGATTGGTTTTGATCAATTAATTAATTAATTTTGTGAATTTTTGGACTTTTTTTTGGCAGTACGACGATTTAGCTGAGCTCGAATGGCTTTCGAATTTCGTGGAGGAGTCGTTTTCCAGCGAGGACCTGCAGAAGCTGCAGCTGATATCAGGAATGAAAGCCCGACCCGACGAGGCAGCTTCCGAGACCCGACAATTCCAACCCGAACCCAACCGAAACAACAACGCTCACAACACCACCACCACCACCAACAACAACCCGATATTCAACCCGGACGTTTCGGTACCCGCCAAGGCCAGAAGCAAACGGTCCCGGGCCGCCCCATGCAACTGGACCTCCCGCCTCCTCCTCCTCTCCCAGCCGACGTCGTCCTCGGAGCAATCCGACGTCGTTTCGGGTGGGCCGCCGCCGTCAACCACCGGAAAGAAAACGGTGAAGTCAGCACTGAAGAAGAAGGAGAGCCCGGAGAGTCCGGGAGGTGGGCCCGGGGAAGGCCGGAAGTGCCTGCATTGCGCGACGGACAAGACGCCGCAGTGGCGGACGGGGCCCATGGGCCCGAAGACGCTGTGCAACGCGTGTGGGGTCCGGTACAAGTCAGGTCGGCTCGTACCCGAGTACCGACCAGCCTCGAGCCCGACGTTCGTGCTGACGAAGCACTCCAACTCGCATCGCAAGGTGCTGGAGCTTCGGCGCCAGAAGGAGATGGTGAGGGCGCAGCAGCAGTTTATTCACCAAGTACCGCCGCAGCAGCATCACCACCACCACCACCACCATCAGAACATGGTTTTCGATGTATCCAACGGTGGAGATTACTTGATTCACCAACACATGGGGCCCGACTTCCGGCAGCTGATCTAGTGGGAAGCGTACTAGAGTAGCTAAAACTAGGCAACTTTTCGAGGTTAATTTAGCGGGGCCCAGTTGATCTTCTTCTTCCTTTTTCTTTTTTTCTTTTTTAATTAATTAGACAATTTCGTAATGTGTTTTTTTTCTCTTCTTCTTCTTCTTCTAGGGTAATTTTCCCTAACTTAAACTTTGAACTTTCTAGTCTGTTTTAATGTTTTAAAATTTTCTCATATTTGATTTAGAGAGTTAAATTAAACTGAACTAATATCAATATGGTGCGTTACTTAAGTTAATAAGCTATAGTGCATTTTTAAATGCCTTAATGAGGTGATTGTGTTAATAAAAATTTAAAAAATATATATAATTAAGAAAAGCCATAAGGCCCTTAATAATTTGCTGAAATTGGCTCTTTCTCAATGTCTATGAGTATGTTAATATTCTTATGGTCCCATGCATAAGGCAATTGATCAAATTTTGTTAATAACGAAAAGGTTGATCACTTTTGTTTAGCAAACCATCATTTCAATTGCCCCTACCACGTTCTTAGACTGTAGATTGCTTCCAACGGGTACTTGATGGTTTTGTAATTCTGGTGGTAGAGAGCAGTTAACTGTACATACGAAGTCCTCTGTATTTTCATATTAGATTTATATATGGGGATTTTGTTTCGTAATTGAGATGGTAAGTAATGGTATATAACACAAAATAGTTATGGTTGTCCAAATATGTACCCCACTAAGTTGGTGTATGGTGAGAGAGAATCATGTTATCTTGTTGACACCCCAACATCACCAAGTGAAAGGTCTCCAACCTAATCATAATTTGCATGACAAGAAATAATGCTGGACACCACCTCTTTAAGCTTTCATATTACTCATTATTCACACAGCTAAGATAAATTAAAAAGAGAGTTAGTTGTAATTACTGTCCTATTTAAACTATTACTGTTAATTTACAAAGAGTAGTTGTCTTGGTTCGACAATGTTCCAAATTCGACTAACACGAACACAAAAACACTACACATTTATAGTGAGTTTGATACATAATTGTGACTCGTTCACGCCATTATGAAAGTAATATTATAAGTATGAGAAAAGATTACTAACTAGTTTTGTGTGCATGAATTTCAGTGAAAAACTGATAATAGCCAGTGGGGATTAACTATTGCAGTTGCAGAGAATGTTAGAAAGAAAACAGCAGATTGGCTAGCATATTTTTCACATCGTTTTCTGCTGCACAAAATCCGGTTGGCGCAATTGGTTTACTTTATAAATAATGTTATTTTTTTTTCTTGCACAAATTTTCTCACTTTTTAAGACTTCGAGAAAATGAAAATACGAATTTCCCCATGAAAAGGAAAATGATTGAACATGCATGTATTTCGCAAAACCCACTCCCATATATTTTTGAGTCGGAATATTCTATTTTATGGTAATGAAAATTAAGTTGTTAATTATTGTTGACAATGCTTATGAAAGTATGTGTATGCATGCAGGGATCCTAGGCAGTGCTCATCCAAAGGTCTGTTAAATTAAGTTTAATAATACATTGTTCTATAATTAATAATATATATTTTCTAAAGCTGGCTATGTACGATTTTTCATTTGGTCTTATCGTGAGCCAACAAAGTGAAAAAGAAAAAGAAATAGGGAAGCTTGCCCAATGGCAGAGGACTGGTGGGAATAATGATTTTTTGAAAATATAAAATTAAATTAAAAATTACATATTTAATTTAATTATTCTGGTAAGCATTTGTACATTAGTATGAAGGTGTAGCAAAGTTTGCGGTGGTCACATGCCTCTTTTTCATGCCCTCATGCACCTCACAGTGGTTTATGATGCCATCACTGACACAGACACGCAAGAACACCAGTTTCTGCATTCATATTAATTGTTATAAAGCTGCAGTTCTAAAATACTTTGGGGGAAAAAAATTATTTAATTTCATATTTTAAGTAAATGGGTTAAGTGGGTTCAATTTTACTGTTTCAGACTCGTTGAAAATAGCAGTGTGACGTGCGTGTAAAAGTTTTTTTTGGTGTGTTTTCAATGAATTAATTTTGCATGTGTCAAATTGTAATTCACAGTAAGGAAGAGTATCTCTTTATAAGAAATGTGGCAAACATTATCCTTTTATCTTTGAGAAAAAAAGTAAATGGCTTACATGCATGGAAGATTTTCCCATGTTGATAATAAAGGGTTTTGTCTCCTTTCCACCACCATCTATTCTGACAATGACTTGGCCATTTTTTTTATATTAAAAAAAGCAAGAGATTTTCTCAATTTCCCTAACATGGAAACCCGTGACTCTACAAATGAAGAAACTTCATTAATTTTTTATTTATTAATTACCAACTTTAATTTGTATGTGTGTTCGATCTTGATTCATGAGAGCATAAATGATAATAAACTTATACTGGGCCACTGCAGCATTTGCTTGTAGACATCAGAAGGAGCTGCTAATTAAAGACAGTTGTGCAACAGTTTAATTCTGGCCATGTAGTAGGGTTTGGATGTTCTCACGCCCCTATTCTCTCCAATTCTTTAGTGAAGGTTATTAGGGTCAATTGTTTTATGCACGAGTAAGCGATTTCTAATCGTTAGTACATGCTTGGAAGTATATTTAACGATCAAAACTAGACTACGTGCGTGTGAACAACTGATCGTAACATTATCTCTTTTGAGTTACGTTGCAGTCATGCTTGGAAGTTACACATCGAGAATAAATTCGTACATGCATAGTTGAGTCTGAATGAAGTGTGTGCAGATACAAAGGACTTGGAGAGAGAGAGACCCACACCACATGCAACATGCAAGTGTCCTGTGATGAAGGAGACATTGGCACTAGGGCCAAGGATCTTTTCAAACAAATGGGAGACATTTTGGACATTTATCACATCGACCGCCCCGCACCCTCATCTGCACTTCACGTTTGCTTACAAAGTTTTTTCATTCTATATATTATCATAATCACTGATACGTGGCACAATCCCAGTTGCCCACACCTTTATTTTATTCTAAGGTAAAAGAGAGAATGCATTCGCGAGAAGAACTTTAAACTGCAACTTAGAACACACGCCAACTATTATTACTCTTTGAAATCTAGCAAAAACAGAAAGATCATTATTATTCTTTTTTCTTTTTCCCACTAAAAGGAACAGCAATGTAGTACATTGATGCTATATATATAGAGTATAGGAAAAATCAAAGGGAAGGTAAAAGAAATTTGAAGGAGAATTTCAACAATTATAGCAACGAGACAGAGAATTCAATTCTCGCAGCTGTATCCTCGGCATACAGAACTGTTAAAATTAACTCCATTAGATGATGAAAAGGACATGCTGATAACAGGGGTGATGAGACTGATCCATTTAGCCTCTATCTTCCAACTTCAATCTCTTATCGAGGCACGCTGAGACCCAGCTCTGAATATATCAACAAAACAGAAAAATAAGCATAATATGTTAGGATTAACCGACACTACCAGTATCGCTAAAAACAAGTTAAACGAGTAAATTGAATCCTTAGCACACAGCAAAGACAAGCTAAATACTACCACATGAAGTGCAAAAAGTTTAAGCAGTTCCCAATCACCATCAGAACTGAAAACTTGCATCTCAATCCTAGGACTTGATAAATAAATCTATTAGACAAGTGAAATGTGTTAATAATAAATCTAGACATTTGGAAATAAAACGTATAACATTCAAACAGATAGCAAAATTCCATGCTTCTGAGAGTACTACTGCCCGTATACAAAGAAACCCTACATTTCACAAGGTCTTCCTGCATGGAATCATAATTTTCATTAACAACTTATCATAGCCACGAGAGCAATACATTTTAAAATAAAAATGTTCAAGCATTCATCATATCTAAACAGACATTATTAAACAACATGAAAATGTAAGCATTCAACAAAAATGTCCGACTCATGACATCTTATAAACTTGTAAGGACTACCATGTTTGGATAACGAATTGAAGTTCACACTTATCAAAGAGGGGAAAAACCTCCAAAACATTATGAAACTGAACCTCAATAATAGGAAATTAAAAAGGTAGACACAATGGTTTCAGTACATTTCTTTCTTCTTGGAAGCTTATCCTAATAAAGAGTATGTCAAGTGCTTTTTATGGGGCATGCAATTTGGCTCCAAACTTCTATCCATGAAACTTTTAACAGCCACAAGCTTTATCCAATAAAGTAGGGAAAAACATAAAACCAAATAATTTTCAACACTATTGGCAGCATGTTACAACTACCATCCCCAATATCGGTGCCCATTGCTAAAAATTTGAATCATACTGAAAGCTAAAGTATTATCAAAGGCAACACACGACAACACCGAATACACATTATGACATGTTGTCTGTCAACCAGTGCACTAAAAATCAGTGTCAGCTGGTTTTAAAGAGCAGCACCATAGCTGTTTTAGATGTTATTTACCACCTCAATTTTTCCAACAATGTCGCCCAAATTTGCTTCTGTAAACTTATCTCTCAGATCAAAGTTTCGGAGCAGATAATATAAATTGCATTAAAGATGAATTTGAAGTGCAAAAAATCAGACTAAGCAAATCATAAAGGCATAAGGAAACAGACTGATATACTAGAATAACAATTTTCTGCCTACAAGTTTCACCAATTTTAGTATGAACAAAAAAATTGAGCAATTTAAGACGGAAAAAATGCACAACACAAATTCAAGATTCAAACATTAGCTAACTATAGAGTAAAAAAGTTGCTTACAGATAATAAATACAAAACATTGGAGATATCAAACTCCTGGGTTTGCACCGAGCATACCCTGAGACAACGACCTCGAGCTCCTCGAGTCAATGCCGAGGCACGACGTGAGCCGAGCTGAAGAGACCGCCGAGTGAAATGGAAGTAAAGATTGCAGAGAACCCAACTGAGGAGTTGGCCTGAAACTCAAAAATTCGAAAAAAGTCAAGAGCTTTGATAATTTGAGAAAAAAGCACTTGAAAAAAGCCCTCAACTGCAATGCCCAATTGAAAATTCAACAAAAGATTGAGAATTTCAGAGGTTTGAAGGGCTTGCTTACCTTGAGTGTGTGAGAGAAGGGCGGGTTGTGGGGAGAGAAGACATAGGCCTGGGATTGACCGTTGGCTTGTTCACCGTGGATTTGAGAAAAGAGAAAGCCGGCTTTGAAAAAGATCTGCAGCGAGAGGCCATTGGAGCACACAGCAGAGAAATGATAGAGTTAGGGTTTTGGGAACAACAGTCACAGTAGCTAGAGAGCCAGGGCTCTAGTGGGGTTTTGCATTTTGGGGAAATTACCAAAAGGTAATAGGGAATATCATCAATTTTTATTTTTATTTTTAAATTAAGTGTTGTGTAGTTGTGCAGCGCCTACAAGACTTCTTGAAGTTCTTGTGCACATAGTAACAAAAAAGAAGAAGAATGCTTAGCATAAAAATAATATTTTTCCATTGACAATTTATATTGTGAACCTTTTGCTTTAGAAGCGATTTGGATCAATGCGTTTTTTGTTATAAAAAATGGTTTGATATAGTAAGAGGTTTTCTTCAACAATGGTTTAACATTTAGCATTAAAAAAAAAAAAAACAAAGGTTTAACATTTGAAATTTGTTTAGGTTGTCACAAGAATGAATTCTATTTATTAATAATTAACCTGGAAATTTTACAATCTGTCTAACATACATTCCAATCAGAACAATGGAAAATTGAAGATACATGTCAGCCCTTCTTCCTATCTTTATCTCCAGCGATGGCAGTGGGGTTTGGTCTACACTACACCGACACTAGGAAAACAGATAAACAACGCCCTTCTTCCTGCAGATGAACACTAGGAAAACAGGCATCTCATCTGGCCACTGCTTGCAAGATGGTGAAAATCACCTTCACCTTGACAGCATTTTACAGGCTTCAAGTAGAATATGAGAGAACAATGGCGTTGCAGGAAATAGGCCTCTGTTTCTACAACACTGTCAGAGGAGGGCTTGTTTCCCTGTCACTGAATCAACTGATTCTTTTGGTCCTGCATAAAAACTGAGTGATCAGAAGCCGCCTCCTTTTGTTTTCTGGTTGTGTGTTTTGTATTTAATTACGCATGATGCATGCAATGTAGAAGGCCAAAATAATCCTTAGACAGGCAGTAATTTCAAGTTGTTCTTTAATCTAAAATCTAAAACATTTTTCCAATTGAACAAAAGGGTGGTAAATAGTTTACAAAGGAATGCAATGAAAACTATTTTCCAGCAAAGTGTGAGAGATATACCAGGTCCAACGGCAAGAACTGTCTTAGACCCGCTCACAACCTGAGCAAAATAAAGCGAATGTCAAGATCTCAACTACAATCTTATTTCCAGGCCCAAAGGAAAAGCTATAATCTTATATTTCCTCTTCACGACATAATTTTGAATCTACTAAGCAATAGACATATAATTTCAGCAACGAAATAGTACTTGCATTTCTCACTAAGCATCCATACATGCACATGTATGGAGTATACCCTCTCATGGTTTTTTGGCTAAGGAACAAATATTCCCTCACAAAAATGCAGATTTGGTACTAGTTTTTATATGCACTCAACTGACTTTGGAATTTTATACATTCCGTGGTTACAACATCATACCTGTGTTCGCCCTGCATCAGCGACAACAAAAGTAGGAAGGCCAATGCCCTCAGCTGCTTCCTTCAGCTTATTCCTGATTTAGAAAGAAAAAAGAAGAACAATAAAGAGCAGAAACCCCACAATTTATCCAAAAAAGAGTCATATTTGTTTAGTGAGTATGTTTTTTTATAACAAAATCAGCTGCTTACATTTCTTGTTGATTCTTGCATGTAACCACTATTTTGGGTTGCCCATATTGCTCCCATTGTCTCAAAAGGGATCTGTGGCTGCAATGAATATTTCATGTTATTGCTTTGATATGATGATGATTATGATTATATATATTAACAAATATATAATTCATGAGAGGGAGGGAGGGGTCATTGGATCAGAGTAAATTCAATACTCAAAACAGAGGAAGCCACTCCTAGTCACCTTTGCATCAGTTCTGCATACACGCCAGTGGCAGCATCTGCAAGGTTGTGGAAGAAATATTTCATCAAATTATTCAGCAAAAGAAATCAAGAACAGGGTGTTGAGGGAAGTCACCAAAACCAATACTAGATAACATTATAGAATCTGAGGTACTTACGAGCACACTGAGATGCAATTTTTCCAGTTGTCATCTTTAGGTCTCGTCTAACTACCAGAACCTGTCATGAGGAGTTCACCACTTAAAATTAGAGAATAACCAAAACAAGAAAACTATTAAACGAGCAAACTCAACTCAGATCACTACTATATTTCCCTGGACAAATCAGAACTCCCATTTAATCAATTAAACAGATTCCTTAATCGAGTTTTCTCAATGATATCTCAGAATCAACTTTATCTTTTATATTAAGGCCTATGCAGAGCAAGACATGCTAACAATTACTAAAGCATGCAAAAACACAACAGTTACACTATTTTCAAGCTATCACTAACCAAATTTCAACACATCAATACCATAAGAATTCAATAGTAATAAGAGCTTAAGGCACCAAAAGACAAACCATTTTAAGCTCTTCATCACCATTACTAGTGACCAAACTTCGCTGTTGCACCTTGCCTACTGAGATTTTGTTCTTCTTCGACTGATCCTTACCGGGCTGCGATAAATCCCACAGCAACCCAAGAATGAAGCCAATGACAACTCCTGGAATAAAGTTCTCTGGCTTAAAACTCACGGATAACCATTCTCTTTCTTGCTTCTGCTGCTGGTTTCAGTGATGCCCATCAGAGTAAATTTGATATCAATTCCGTTTGTTAGCAGATGAGAATTAGAAAATGAACTATGATGGTTGAATTTAGACTAAGTTATAAGTTTTAATACAACTATTTGGTCTCTTCCCCATTTTCTCCGCGGCCAAAGGGAGGGTGCTACTGATGGTTCCATATGAAAAAAGATGCAATTTTTTTCGTTTGGCTGCTGAGAACTCCGTGTGGACCGTGTGCTTTCCTTTTTCCCGGAGTTCTCAGAAACCCAACCCGGAGTAGACTAAGAAATTTGAAAACAAAAACGAGAGAAGGACAACTAAGTGATGAAATTGAAATCAAATTTAACAAATGGTACCTTGTTTGGATGCTGGGAAACGTTTCGAAATGAAGCGAACATGGGTTTTGTTCAGTGGTTTCAGAGCAAGCAAGAGTAACCTCAGAGAAGCAGAGAGATTTTGGTGGGTTGGGTTGTCTGCGGGAGGATGAGGTAAGAGGGAAAATCAAAGAGCTTTTACCATAATGACAGAGAGAACTCCCTTACCATTTTTTTTCCTTTTAACTTAGGGTAATGATTTTCCCACTTCAATTTTATCCACTTACACTCTTTTTTAAATTATAAAATGGAGTGTAAGTGGATAAAATTGGAGTGGGAAAATCACCACTTTTAATTTAACTCCTTTTTTCAAATTTTAGGCTTATGTTTCTTTGGGATAAACACGTGTGTGAGACAACCTCGTCCTAACTTTGGTCAAAAAAAAAAAAAACCCCTATCAGCCGGAACCCACAATAAATTGGGTTAAGAGCACTTCCAATAGCAAAGGCCGGCTCGGGTAGGAGGTGGGGGCCACGAGACTGGGATGGCCCGAGGGGGTGTTCAGTACGTTAGCAACAAAAATATATAAAAATATATATAAAAAATTCAGATTTAAAAAAAATTAAAATACTTAGTCATATTTTTCACTTCCCACACCAAAACTCTATGCAAATTTATCTCATCATATCTCATGTGAATAGTTGTTGCCATGACAATTGGTGGAAACACCACAACCTTTTGCAAAGGGCAACTACTATTCATGTGAATAGTAGCTGCCTTAACCCCCCTTGCCATGGCAAAGGGCAAACTGCTGAAAGTGCTCTAAGGGCTACAACAACCAAACATGGCCTGTTACAATGGCCTTAATGTGGCTTTAGGATCTACTCTTCACCACTGGCGGACCCAAGAATTTTTCAGGGAAGGGGCAATTTTTAAAATGCTAAAAGCTCAACAACAAAAAAACACCAAAAAGATAGACAACCAAATACCTTAGAATTTCCTATAAAAAAAAAAATATACCTTAGAATTTAAACAATACTAATGTCATTTGTAATTCATAGAAAGAAAAAAAAACATTGCAATTAAGTTACAATTGTTCACCGTGAGCTTTCATATCACAAAAACAATGACAATATTTTATACAAACTTGGTTTTTTTATTTTTAAATAAATGCAATTTTACACATACTAATTTCCTATAAAAAATATATATATACCTTAGAATTTAAACAATACTAATGTCATTTGTAATTCATAGAAAAAAAATATAACATTACAATTAAGTTACAATTGTTCACTGCGAGCTTTCATATCACAAAAACAATGACAATATTTTATACAAACTTGGTTTTTTTATTTTTTTATTTTTAAATAATACAATTTTATACATACTTGATCGATATTAACATTGCAGACTTGATAGATAATTAATATTGCAGCCCTACAAATTTATGCAAGGACAATCCTTATTTAAGGCCCAATTTGTTTTTCATCCAATGACCCAATTGATTTATCATATACTAAATAGCATGTAGGAATTGCAGTCGCACTCACATGTTTATTCCTCTTTTTTATTTTTTTCGGGGGCCTTCACAATCCAATACTCCAAGCCAAGCTTTTGGTATTCTCCCCATTCACCCAACTTCCCTACCGACCCGCTATCCCTTACGTACTCCTCAAACTCACACAGAGAATCCCAACCACATCCCCCCCCACATAAACATCAAACAGTTATCTTCCTCGTTCTATTTTGTTCCAAAAATAAATCACATTTCAAACCACCACCTTAACTGCCATAACTCAATTGGCCTTCCTCCATAGTTCTTTGCAATGGAGTCTGTTGCCTCCAGCTCCTCTCCACCAAACCACCACCACCCCCAACGGCCACGGACACGGTTCAAGCCCACCCAGCCCTTCGCGGACCGGATAGTCCGCGCCCTCCACCACGACCTCCGCCTCCTCCACCGCCGCGAATCCACTTTCTTCATCCTGGGCGCCACGGGGAACGTGTACACCGTGGCCTTATGCGCCACCCCTTCATGCACGTGCCCAGACCGCACAACCCCATGCAAGCACATACTCTTCGTGTTCCTCCGAGTGCTCGGCCTTCCCCTCGACGACACGTGTCTTAGGAGGAGGACGCTCCGGCCGTGCCAGGTTAGCCGCCTGTTGGGGCTGCCGACGCTGCCCGAATCACTGGCTGGTGTAAGTGTTCGACAGAGGTTTCATCAGCTGTTTTTCAACCAGGGCTCGTCAGCTTCATCCTCAAGAACAAGGCCAAGGGATGTGGAGATTGAAGAGGGCAGAAGCTGCCCTGTTTGCTTGGAGGAGATGGGAAGGGAAGAGAGAGTGGTGGCTTGCGGGACATGCAGAAACCCAATTCATGAGGAGTGTTTGATGAAGTGGAAGAGGAGCAGCGGGAGGAGGTCGGCTTATTGTGTGATTTGTAGGGCAAGGTGGAGGGATATCAATAGGACGATGGAACAAGACAAGTACTTGAATTTAGCTGCTTATGCTACAAGTCATGATCAAAAAGATGATTCTGATGAGGGTCTCTGTGGTGGTGGTGGGTAAATCCCATGTTTATAATGTAAATAATTATCAGCAGGACAGGTTAAAAAGGATTAAACATAATTGTAAGTTGATATAGAAATTGTAAATTTGGAAAGGAAATGACAAAAGTGCTTTTATTATCTGTCATAATCGCAGCATGGAAATTTTGTGCGAAAATCACATGGGAAATTCGAAAGCAAAAATGACAAAGTGCTTTTGCAGAAAGCTGATGGCTGCTGCTAACCAATTCCTGCAATCTCTTTGAATTGACACTTGTTGAATTATTGTTTGACAAGAAATAACAGAAGCAGATAAGCTTTCTTAATGCAAGGTATGCGTCTATGCTTAGGCTTCTTGTGACAGCTGACAATCTAATCTAGTCCAATTTAACATCTGCCAATTGCAGCTTTACAGAACAAAAATTAACAAAGAGATCAGTATTGTCAAAAATTGAATTGTCAAAGAGATAAGTGTTACCAAATTTAGATTAATGACCAAACTATAAAAGAATATCAAATTTAAAATGTGCCCAGTTTTCAGATAGGTAAGATAATTTCCATTCAACCATTGACACTGACAGTGAGAACAAAAATTTTCGGCGTACAAGGTGTACCTCTCATTGGCAATTTGTCAAACACCTGATCAGCTGGGTCGTCAATACACAAAAAAATTCAGCATAAAAAGACCTCTGCATCTCTCAGTGGCAATTTATCATACACCTTACCTTCTGGGTACTGTAGCTTTAACAATGGACAAGGAAAGCGCCACTCTTCCTAATGGCAGCAGCTTGTCCCGCAAAGTGGTAGCAGTGGCTGCCGGCGAAGCCCACACTCTGGCTCTCACAGGTACTAGACTTTGGCACAAGCAGAGGAGAATTGATGAATTTTGAGCTTTAATGGCTGTCTGTGGTGTTGATTTGCAGGGGATGGCTTTGTGTATTCATGGGGAAGAGGCATGTTTGGGCGTCTTGGGAGTGGTGCCGAGGCCGACGAGTTCTTCCCAGTTCGAATCAAATTTAATGATCCACGTTCTGCAGAAGAAAGGAGGCTCAAGCTTGTGGGAGTTGCCGCTGGTTCTTACCACAGTCTTGCTCTTGCTGGTGAGTTTTAGCTTCTTGTCAGATTTTGATGTTTTTAGTAGTAATTGGGTTCTCAAAGAAGTGGAATTTCCAATATGAAATGGGCTTTTAGAACTGTGAGTTTATTCAGTCTTTGATTCTAAGAAGTTTTGACAGATTTCTGTGGCGGACATTGAAACTAATAGATGGTATGTTGGTGTTGCACAAAGATAAGGCTTGTTTTGTGTGTGATTCTTTCTGCTGGTTGTATGCTTGCAGACTTCCTCAGTTTTCTTAGTATTTTTGTTTACACACTTTTTCCATCCTTTCTCAAGCAAGTAAACAAGTATCCTTGTTGGAGGACCCACTGGATGGTTAAAGTTCATAACTTTACCCCATTTATATCCAATTATCAGGCCTATTTGAAGTTTTTTCTGGGTTTAATGGCATTAGAAATTTATGCCAGGCAACTAAAAGCCTATTGATGAGGTTAGGTTAGGATCAAGTTATCAATAGTCTTGCAAGCTCTTGATGAGTTTAGTGGAAATGAAAATGTATTTGTTACATTATGCTTATGTAAACTGGTAGTATGTGTGATTGGATTTGGTTACTCGACACACTTTATGATATATGAACTAACCGTAGAGGATAATAGACATCAGAATCAAGAATTTACATATGGCAATAGGTTTAGCTTGATTCTTTTTTGAACGAACAACATACAAAAATAGTTGAACGGTGGACAAGATTCTTCTCTATTCTAATTTTACTTGTGTGATGGCAGATGATGGATCAGTTTGGTGCTGGGGTTACAACATCTGTATCCTCCACTATAGGGTTATATATGTGCTTTCATTAATTCTGTACAATGAAATAATTTAGTTATGGAAAATGCATCTCTAGTTCTTTTTGTTTGCTCCTTGTTTACATTCTTAACTGTTGAATGGATGGCCAACTTGGTGTCAATGGAGAAAATTTTCTGGTGCCCTGCTTGCTGGAACGGTTCCTTGAGGTGGGATTTGCGACGGAGAGTGAAGTGCCACTACAGGTATGGAAAGAATTGTTTTACTGCTGCAGTGCACTAAATACCTGATGAAGATAAGAGCCTTATGTGCTGTTTTTTTTGGTTGCCATATCTGTCTACATTAGGTTTGTTCTGTTAAAGCTGGAGGAATGATGTCTCTAGCCATTGATAATCTAGGTGGCCTTTGGATGTGGGGCAATTGTCCACTCGAAAGCAGCAGCAATGAAGGTGGGTTCTCGCTTGTGAGCAGTTTCACTCCAACCCCTGTGTGGGATTTCCATGGCCATACTGTTGTGAAGGTGGCATGTGGAAATGAGCATGTTGTAGCCCTAGTTAGTGCTGGAGAAACATATAAAGGGGAAGATCTTGTTTGCTTCTCTTGGGGAGGTAACAACCATGGTCAGTTAGGCCTGGGGGATAAAGAGTACAGGAATCGTCCTGAAATTGTTGAAGCTTTTAACCAGGACTCTCCTTTCGCAGTTTATGAGGTAGCATGTGGGGCTTTTCACACGGCTTTGCTTACCCACAGAAAAAGGCCAAGTGACACATTAGAAAGCATGTGCTGGACGTTTGGCCTCGGAGAAAATGGGCAGCTTGGGCATGGTACCACCCAAAGTGTATTGTCTCCTGAAACTGTGAAAGAATTGCCACAATACATATATTTGGTTTCTGTCGACTGCGGCTTATTTCACACTAGTGTTGTTTCATCTGCTGGAGATGTGTGGTCATGGGGAATGGAGAAGGGTCTTGGTCTATGCCCAGAAGCTAGTTATGCCGGGAGAGATACAGGGGATGCTGTTTCTCCCATACAGATTAACGGATTGAATGGGCCTAGGTTTCAGGATCCGGTCCAAGTTGTTTGTGGAGCTGCTCATACTGTTCTTGTAGCAAATGATGGATATAAGCTTTGGTCTTGGGGGAGAGGAAGGAGTGGGCTTCTTGGAAATGGTAAGACGATTGACTGTTATGCTCCCACTGTTGTCTCGTGGCCTCCACTTACAGAGGATTTCAAGCAAGAAGAACTAAATACTGTTGATAAGGAAGCTACAGCTACTATTGACGATGGAGATAAAGTCGGGGAAAAGAATTCTACAGGAGAAGCTGAAACAGAGAAAAGGCTGTCTTTGGCAATGAAAGAGATGAAGCTTCTTCAGTCAAAACTTTCAGCGATGGAGAAGTATGCTGGCATACTTCATGGCTCAATATTTGGAAAACCCATGGAAGAGCAAGATATTCCAGTCTCATTGCAGAACTCAGGTAGTTATGACATTGCAAGGGAATGGGAGAACATGTTAGAGTCAGCAGATCGTGCCAAGATTGTCAGGCTGGAAAAGTTCTACCGGAATATGCTTGCCGGTGTGAAAGATAAGCTAATGAAGAAACGGATTCAAGAGATAATAAAGGAATGCCTGAATTCTTCTACAATAAACAGAGGTAAGGGAGATGTGTAATTCTAAAATGCGAATACAACGGGCAATATACATATGAAAGTTCAAATGAAGAGAAGGAATGTCTTCATTCTTCTGCCTGGGGAACTAGGGCTATAAACAAGACCCTTCTCATATTGTTTATGTTTGTGAAACAAATCTCTCTGTAGTTTGTACAGAGACTTGTCAGTTGGTTTTGGCAGGTTGCTTACTATGGTGTATAAGTGATGAGAGTTTGAGTACTCTAGAAAATAAAGATCATATGTACAATGTTCTCCAAAAATTTTGTACTGTTGAATAAACAGCTTGTAGATCAAGTATTGTGAGCGCACTAGTAAAGTATATAAGTTTTAGACTATGGTCTATGCGGAACAAGATTCAATTTATAATTCTGGTGACAGAGTACTTATTTTCGTACTCACGATAAGAGTTCGACTCTCGTTCTTCTTTTTCTTTCTACATCAAAATGAATCTTTAAACTGAAGAGATTAGTAAGGAGGATTATTTCTCTGCATTTAAAAACATGGATTTTGTTGCATTTCAAGTTACTATTTGTGCTCAGTTAATTTCCAATGGAGAATTTAAATAATAGCCGTTGAAGATTTGCAAAAGCCAAGGTAAAAAAAAGAGCAAAGGCGCCTGGATAACATTTGACCGCTACCAAACACACCCAAATTGCTCATCCCCTCTTCAACTTAAGTCCCCAACTTTCACCGCCACGCGCGCTTCAACTTTCCCTCTCTTTTCTTCCTCACAAACCCTCCCAAAACCCTAACCCCACTCACTCTCCACTCAGATTTCCCGGTCGAAATGCCCGGCGTCGCCTCTGGCTCCGGTGATACTTGCGGCGCCTCAGGCTCCAACGACAGTGCTCTGGTCCCATACTCGCCGGAGCTCCGGCATCCCGTCGTCTATTCACTTCACCACGGCCTCAAGCCTCCGATCGGTCGCCTTTCAATCTCGTGGTCCCGGGGCAACACTCTGCGCGTGTCGGTTCTCCGGCCACCGTCCGCAGAAGACTCTGAGGACGCCGAAGTTGGCGGGAGAGTTGTGGAGGTGAGGCTCAGTAATGGAGACGGCGAAACTGGTGATGCGAAGTGGCGGAGGATCGCGTACGGTTCCGTTCCACCATTCGCACTTCTCCAGAGCCGGAGGAGCTCTGTCGCGAGCTTATCGAAGATGTCAATGAGTCCGTCGCCGTATAACATCGATTGGTAAGTAATTTTGTAGACACTTTGGATTAGTCTGTTTGGCTGCCGAGAAAGCTGAGGAAAAAGTTTAGAAAAGTTACAAATATCTAACTTTGTTTTTAATTTTTTAAAAATTAGGTGGGAGTATGTGATGGAGTACAGCAAGGACATAAATTCACTTCTTGGTGTCTCCAAGGCGCCTCCTAATCCAGTGATTGACGACCCGAAGACTGTTTTAAGGGTGAATTTGCGTTATTTCATGTAGTTTTGATTGTTCAAATGTCTTTCCTTTTCCAAATTACAAATACAGTTGATATGTCTAATTTAAAAAGATTAATGTAGAACGTTGAGGAGCCTACCTCTTTAAAAGCTGCGTGGGAGCTAATGGAGATGTTTTATGCTGACAAACAATGCCAATCATGGCTACCGGAAAGGCTTGTTGATTGGTTGGCCGTAATGATCTTATTCTCTTCCCTTTATTTGTTTCATATATTGAACTTTTCAGTTGTTGCTTTATGACGGTCACGACTCATGAGTACTATGCTTGTGTTTCCTGGCAGGATTATGATAGTCTACTTTCGAGTACACAGCCAACTGTCCATTCGAAGCTTGTGGATTTTCAAAATGAACTTGTCGGGTTACAGGTTTGACCTGTCTTGTTCCAGTTTCAATCTTATTTTTCTATTTTCATTGGGATTTCATTAAGGTTCATGCGTCATTAGCTGGGTTTGAGAACATCTCTTGGAATTCTACTGTGGTCTATAGCAGGACTGCAGCATAACTCAACCTAAATGAATTTGTTAACTAATGCCCATTTGTAACTACTTTTCTGGATTTTTTTTTTTTTTTGTTACCTTGACTGTTCTCACCATCCGTAAAACACTAGTAGTTAATTTATGGATTCTTTCTATCATTACACTGGCTTGTATTGCGAGGCTGTCAATTAAAATTATTGTGTGTGAGTGGGATTTCTGGTTGATATAACTAAGCATAGTAATCCTTATGGTAGCCTTCTTTTCATTTTAATCATTGAAATATTTGTTGGGGTTAATGTTGATTAAGTTTAGCCTCTGATAGCAAGTTTGTCACTTTTTGGTTCATAAAGATGGTGGAGAATTTTATTAGATTGTTTTCCACAGGTTATTGAGGACAATCCTAAATATTGGGAAGTGTTATCATCAGCACTGGCAGTTGGCTGGATTGAGATTGTGGTTTGTAGTTTTAAAGACCCTGTCCCTTTTCTTTCTAAATTTCTTTTCCTTCTATGTCCAGAGGTTTCTGTCTTCTGAATAGTTAAGTAGTTATAGTTTCCAGTTATGAAAAGACTAATAGGTGCCGTTTGTTTTCATGCAGGTGAAAATGTTGCGGTTACATGGATCTTATCAATTCCATCAGCTTGGCAACCGTGAGGTTGGTGAGAAATAGATTGAACATGGAATAGATGGTTTAGAATATCTTATGATGACTGCTACCGCCGTTTACCTTTTCATATGCTCATGTTCTAAGAATATTTTTCTTTGTGGCTGGTCACCAATTGCAACATACATATTTCAATATTCCATGTAACAATTCCAATTATATACCTTCTTGAAGTTAGTGCTAAAATAACTGATATATTGATCAATTGTATTTTATCTGATGCCTGTCCTGTGTGTAACTGGATAGATAGAGAATGGACTTGTAGAGACAATTTCTTTTCTTATTTCAAAGATGCCACGCATGCGTCCTGAAGTAGAAGATGGAAGGTTAGGTGAATGCTACAAAGCAAAGCCCGATTTTATCAAGGTATGTTTGAGCCTGTGAGGAAACGAGTGCTTCTTCTATATTCTGGCTTTTTCTACTATAATTTGCAACTTCAAGTGTTCTTGTTGCCTAGGCATGGGAGAAATGGAGAGGGAAAATTACTAAACTTGACTGCAGTGCATTCTGGCTTCAATGTGATCACCGTCAAACCCGGGAGGGATTGAAAAATATGATACAAATTATGCTTGGAAACACTGACGATATCTGCAATGTAACTTGCCATTGGATAGAGCTGTTTATTTCTCACTTTCTCTTTGTCAGGCCATTCACAGTGGTAATGCCTAATTACATTATCCTAATATTAGTTATTTTGCAGCTTTGGGCATAGATACGATATGAACTTATGTACTTGTCATCTCTTTGTAATACATTATCATGTGTAGCAGCTGGACTCTGAAGTAGACAACTAATTTCTTTTCTTAAATCAGGGTCTTGAAAGCATGTATAGCCTAGCCCAGAAATGCATGCAGTTGAAACCAATGTCTAGTGCCCATGGGTTGATAGCAATTATTCTTGGAATCCTTGGGGAAAATACCGAGGTAAACAGTTTGGGTTAGACACTGACAGTATACAAATCTATTTATTTTGTCCATGTTTTTCTTCTATAAAAATCTTTTGGGTGCTTGCAAATGGTACAGGTTATCTTAGCGGAATGCTCAAGAGCATTTGGGCCTTGGTGAGCTTCTATGTTCTCTTGTAACTGCATGTATTTCAGCATTTGGTCTTTCAAAAAGCTGTATAATGTTTCCCCACCTTCCATCCCCCATTTTCCCCAAACCCACCAATTGTTGTAGAAGTTTAAGTGGCTTTTGAGATTGAAAAAGCTTGAATGTGCGACTGCTTTTCTATTGAAATGTAACTCTTCATTGCTTGCAATAGGATGGTTGCCCATGCCATTGAGTTGTTGAACACTGGGAGTGATGAAGCAGAAATTCTTCTACAGGAAGAACGCCATAGCTTGGGGGGAATTAGTATAGCAGAGTTACATCGACTTGTTTATGCTCAAGTTCTATCATCACATCCATTGACTTGGCAAGTGAGTGCAATTTAGATAGTTCTAGATTGTTTTTGTTATGATTGTTACAGTAGATTCATGATCTTGTGGCTTTCAGCTTTTCATGTTTGGTGTTATTGTACTCCTGAGTCTTCATAATCAAATATAAACTTGTAGGCATTTAAAATTTCTAGCCTCGCACACTGTGACATCAATTTTATATTCTATATTTTTAGTGTTGATGATTCTTGGTGGCTGTCAGCTGAAATGCCTATCAATTTTCTGTTTCAAGTGCTCTTTGTTTCTTTTGATATTGAGCTGGTAAAACTCACAGTGCACGCACTAAAGATGCTGACAGTTTGATGCTCTCTATGTTTGCAGATTGCTCCAATTTATTTGACATCGTGCATGAAACAGGGAATGGGTTTGTTAGAGATTCTATTGTATAAGCTGCCTATTCAACACAATGAAACACTTCTTAAGGTTAGAGGTCCATATTTTAGTGCCAAAGTTTGTTGTTACTAACCATTGCACAGGTTCTTTTTTCATGAATCTTAGTTTCTGCTCTTTATGTGTATATTTGTGGCTGATAGAAAATAACTTTGTTTTGAACTTTTTGTGCAGAATTTAGAGATATGCCGACTTTATGAACTTGATACTGTTAGTTCAAACATTATGAAGGTATGTGTAAATTTGAAAGGATCATCGTTTCTGTTCATACAAAATTATCATCAATTTATGTACTAGACTTGTTATTTCATTTTTCTCATAATTATTCAAGGTTGAGTTTGCAATACATTTAGGATTTGTGTTAAAAGGTTTTCAGTTTTTAGATTGCTGGCGTGTACCATTGGAAGCATGGTAGGAAAGGTTCTGGAGTTTTTTGGCTACAGCAAGCCCGAGATGAAATTCGTCTTAGCAGGATTGCTCAGCATTTGTTTGATTCAGTTGGAAAGTCAATCTCTGATGAAAGTTTTAAGGTAAAATGTTATTGGTTTGCACACGTCAAATCTTGATACTAGAAAGAAAAAAAAAAATTCAGTTTCATTTTTGGAATGACACATTGTTTATCGTTTGTACATACAGCAATGGGAAGGCTTGATTGAATTGTTGGGTTCAGAATCCAAGACTACGGGGGGTCTTGAATTTTTGCACAAGTATGAGTTTGTGTGACCTTTTCTCTTTGTATTTTCGTGAGCAATATCATTATCCTCATCAACTTTTTATTGAGATCTTTTCTCACTTAAACTTTTCATGTGTTCTAGGTATCGGGACTTCAAAAAGTCCCTTAAGCAAGTTTATGGTGGAAAAACTACTGACACTGCTCGGCAAGCTGTAGAATCTTTGATATCGGTTAGTGTATAACTTTTATGTGACTGGTGCAGCTATCATCCTACATAAACATACTGCTTTACATGACGATCTAAATAATACTGCACCTTGTTTATGAAAGAGTCTATTCCAACGAGTCAATGGTCATATATTTGAGGGTTCGCCTATTATGGTTGAAATTATAGTTATTACTAATAAAAGACAAGATGCAATTCTATTTGGAGTGAGTTATCATTTCCAAAGAAAAAAAAAATCCCTCTGTTTGTCAGCATCTATACTTTCCAAGACTTCAAGTAATATAACTTTATTTATTATGATTCTGCAGCTTATGAAAAACCCATCTACACCTCAGCGCTTTTGGCTGCCTCTTCTGCATGACTCGGTAAGTAATTTATGGAAACGTTTTGGAGAAATTTGATAAAGAATAGTTGGAGTTGTGGTATTGCATTTGAAACTATTGCTATTCCGGATTTTGACATGTACTTGATTTAATAGGTTTAGATTAACCAGATGCTTGATTGTGCCGATATATTTGATGTTAGGTGTGTTACATTCTTATTTAATTTGCATTTGGATTACTTTTGTGCAGTTAAAGCTGCTTAACTGGCAGGAGCGCCCTCTGCTAAATGTCTCTCAGACAAGCCTCTTGTTGAATAAACTGCAAGAGTTGTCCATGGCTAAGCTCCGCCCTGACTTCATCGAAGCAGACTTGCCACCACAGGCCCTCAGTTCTGTAAGATTAGCTCTTGCTACGAACCTCGGACGTGCCATCTTGGAGGAGTAAGCTTGTTCTCCCAGCAGCTCTGAGATGTTGATGGTTTTTTTGTCAGACATCACATATTCCGCTGCTTTAATAGAAATCTTGCAGAAATTTTCAAAATTGTTATTTGTAAATTTGCTTATGTATGAGTAAAAAGTTAAGATTACAGAGAATTATCTCATCGCATCCAGCTCAAAAGAGAAAGGGCTTTTCTTGCTTTACTCCGTTTAGTTCATATTCTGGGTTATACTTATTTTATCTTAAACCTAAATAATAGTATGAAAAAAAAATATATCTTATTGGCCAAAAAGATAATACTTTTTAGAAAGAAAAAAATTATACAAAGAGAATACAATTTTATCTTGGCTAGTAGCCCGACTTTGTATGGAGATGGATCATGGAGCCGTCTTATCTCGTCCTAAGAGGAAAGAACGCCACCGATTTTGTACTGGCATCCAGCTGCTGTATTAATAAAGAAAACTAATTTGAAAATTAATTAGTCAAAGAGTCGTTTTGTAATGTTTTCTTTTTCCCTCTTTTTTATTTTGGTGGAGAAGAAAAACTGAAATGAGAGATGCAAGAGCCGAGGAAGCAAAGCGGAAAAACACGAAAGAAAAAGAATATATTTTATTTTATGTTGTGAGCAAACTCTGACATTAACCAGACGGGAGATGGAAGACTCCATTTGCAATCAACAGCAGCCTCACTTATTTTGCATTATAATAATTCTTTAATACTGGGAACAACAGAAAGGACGCTATACTTTTTTAATACAAGCGATAATCTAAACTACGAGGATGTGGATTTCTTACACACACTACTAAAGGGCCATGAGGGTTCAAAACAGAAACCACTGGTATGCAAGTCAAAAACATTTTCCACTAAACTAGACCCTGTTGGCCAATCGCCAACCACACCATACTTTTATACCAACAAGAAAACGAATAAATGATATTGAACTCAAACCTGGAAACTGACAAATATATAACATCGGTCGTTTAAACATAAAGCTAAAAAATACAAAAAATAATTGCTGTGCAGTAGAGCATTAAAAAAGAAAAAGAATACATCAATTGGATTTTATAGCCTCTAAACGACGAAAATGAATGAAGAAAAAAAGAATATTCGACCTGTAGAAGTCTGCCTCCTTTTAAACCCATCTGCTCCAAACTTCGTGTCCTAGTATTAGCAAACTGCTGGAATATACCAAACACTCAAGAATTTACTATACAAGATCACTGCCACTGCCTAAGGCGGCAAACGCCTCTTCCCCCTCTGCTCACAAATGCAAGAAATTGGAAGCATCTCGGCACAGTGATCATCGCTCCGTACACTAAATACAAGCACTGTCGATGCCTATAACAATTTTCTGCAAGCCCTTGCCATGCACCATCCCCCAAGGAAATTTTAGAGTTTCTTAGGCAAATTGTAAGTCTTCTTAAGAAACTTGGTAGCTGCTTCATCATTCCTGTAGCACAACACGCGTAGGAGTGTGTTTGGTTCGGTTGGGTTCCACTGGCCAGAAGTTGGGGGCAATGGGAGTCTGGACCTGGCAGAAGAGCCATACGACTCCAAGGTCACACGTCTAAACCGTTCAACAAGGCTCTCAGTATCAGTTCTGAAAAGGGGAAGCACACCTCTCACTGTAGTTGAAAACTTATCGATCAGCTCTGAAGGCAAGCCATCTCCATTGGCCCAGAATAGGTCTTTAAGGGATTTGAAATCGTCCTCTATTATTTGCGAATCTTGCCGGGCGAATGCACGGGAGGGGCCTCCAGCAAGCAGAACCAACAAAAAACCATCAAAGGAAGCTCTCATTATGTCAGTAATAATCCGTGTACGAACTCTTTCATGCACAGTGTTTGATATGATAAGTAAGTTCTTTTCCAGTTCGTCAAGAAAAGGCTCTATTCTAGAAGATGATGCTTCCCCAACATACAGGCCATCCCACAGGACATGACTTAGGTCATGGAAAATCATTTTATAAGCCACTGCCTCACAAAGCTGTTGGATTGCTTCCACACAAGCCGCTGGTGTGAGTTCAAACTTTTTCCCCAATCCATTCGAGAAGTCTTCTACATGAGCAGATTCAGAATTCCTTAGATGAGTAACAGTACGTTTCTCCAAAACCTCCAACTCACTCCGGATTCTTTGCAATGTGTTTATGCGAACACAGAGCTGTGGTATTCCAAAGGAGTTATCCCCATTGAGTGTTGCAACCTGAGAGTTCCTCTTCTGAGGATTTGGCGATTTTTCTTTCTTTTTGCCAAAGCCTTGGAACTTTGATCCCATAGTGCATCTGGTCAATGCTGGCATAGTGGGAACAAATGTATTACGTGATCCTGCATATCAGAATGGATAATATTGGTTATCACAAACAGAACATACCTTGATCCACGTACAAATAATTTGAGTTACAAAATTCTTTACCACATCCAGATTTTGCTTTGGTTACGTAGTATTGAAGACATCTGTCGAGGCCAACCATCAAGTCAGGAAGCAATGCAGGATGCATTGGTATTGGCAACTGAAAGAACGCGTCCAGAGTTTCATCTAAAATTCGCAAAACTTCAACAGCAGATGGAGCATAGCCTTCTTCATTTACTTGTGGGTTCCATACCTGTAACATTGCAATGGATGAGGATAGCTTCAGGAAAGATGTCAACACAATTCAAAAAACTGTATCAAATTTCAATTCAGGCTAACAGATGAATAGTTTGTGCACACCTCTTGTTGCAGATTCCTATCAACCCATTCTTTCATTCTGTCCACTCTAGTCTTGATCCACACTTTTACCAGATTTGCAATTGCAGCTTCAGCCTCATAAGGGGGCATTTCCCGAATTATTGCCTTGCCACCATCATCACTATCTACAGAATCTTCAACCGCTATCAGCACAAGATCTTTCTCCAGCTTATCTGCAGCTCTTAAAACTTGTACAGCATCTGGTGTCAACTCCGTTATACCCGATATGAATTGTTTAATCTCATTCGCATAGCAAGCATGAAGGGTTGCCACAGCCACTCCAGCCGCAAAAGGATGCCATCTCTTCAGTATGGGACTGAACACCTGCTTCTCCTTAACTGCCAGCTCACCAACGTCCTTTGCAAGGATGGCAAGAACGGGAAGGGGATTTGGCTGGTGTCTTGATGCTCTCCTGCTTGAGTCTGCCTTTTCCATTCTCTGCATAATAGTAACCAAACATATTTCAGGTCATGCATCTAACTTCTAAAGTTTAGAATCTGTTGCAAAACATTGTCACTAAAATCTTCATAATTTCAAATAGAAAAATCACCTACACGCAGTGCACAAACTTTAGGTTTTATGGTAGATAACAATTTGGAATTCAACTGTCATGCATATTTTTTTAATTACTGTTCCTTATTTCTTTTAGGCCTTCCACAATAACGGTTTACCGTTGTGACATATTCATTGTACTTTTCCCTTACTGAAGGGGGGATGCCAGTGGCCAACATTGAGGGCTTACCTGAGCAAAAGCAGTGCGTAATGATGACCTAATGTAAGTGTCAATCCTGTTGCGAGCAACATCAACTTCACTTTTCCTCCTCCTACGATACTCATTCGATATATCTTCAATTAAAATCTTAGCTGCTACTACCCCCAGCGAAACAATGGCCTGCATGGTATCAATGTTACTGCTATCAAAAGTGTCATGATATGCAAGGAGTCTCTTCTCTGCCCAACCCAATATTGAAGTCAATGTCGAACTCAAGATCTTGCAGTATTCAGGATCCTTTGTTGCCTTTGAATCTTTAGCAACCTCGGCTAGCTGACTATCAGCAGCATATAACAGGTCGAGTTCAACTTGGCCAGTTGCCACAAAGCGGTGAAATAACACCCAGGTAAAGCAAAGGTTGTGGAGCATCTGGTTCATTCCAAGGATTGTCCAGGTCTTCTTAATGTGCTCCATCAGCTCGTCAACTTCGTCTATTACAGATGTTTCATCGTGAAGATCAAAGCAGGCTTCTAGAAGCCTTTCATAAAGCCGGAGATTCAATGGTAACCCGTCTGCCCAGTGGGATGAATCATAGAGACCATCAGATGACCTGGAAGCAAGAGTTGTAACAGCACTACGAAGAACCTGCATAGTCTCATTATTTATCCCAGTTTCAAAGGGCCTGTCCAATGCCCCATGAATAATTTGCCGCAGTCGCTGTGCAGTATTATTCGACTTGTCGAGTGGCAAGTGGGGATGCAAAAGGAGACCGGCCTCAAGAATTTTGAGGGTTCTTTTCCGCCATGCATCGTATTCTTGTTGATCAGTAAAATCAGAGGACTTGAGCTGCTGTAAGAGCTCCAGTGGGACTACCACTGACTCAATTCGCCTTCCTACCTGTAATGAGTACATCAAACAGAAGGCGTGATTAATTACAATTCCAATGAAGACGACCATTCACAAAAGTTTAAAATTACCGACTATGAAATTAAACATGTGTAAAACATTTTGCATTGTCAGTTTTTGGTTTATAAGTAAGAAAATCCAAAATCCAAAATTAACCAAACCAGTAGCAAAATTGAGCTCCATATCCATCCCATCATCACAATTATCACAAAGATGAAAAAATCAAGCATTACCCACCAAATAAAATCAGACCCATCAAACGAGATCAACCAAGATCACAAATGAGAAAGCAGGGAAATTGAGCTCACCTGAGCAGCAGAAATCCTAAGCAGAGCTCTCCTGACTCGAGAGTCCATAGCGTCAGAAATCCCCATTTGGATCCTCATCAGCTCACCCACCGTCATAACCCGCTTGGGCTTTCCAGGTCCCGACCCGGACCCACCGGACCCAGGACTCTTCTTGGAGCCCGAACCCGGCGATTTGAGACCCAATGCCTTCTTCATCTTGCTGGCAGCTGCGGAAGTGAGCGATCTCTGCAACGCCGGCGAGCCGTTGGGCGAGTTGGCGTGCTGTGTCGGTGAGTCCAAGTGAGAAGAAGCGGAAGACGACGTGAAAGTCAGGGCCTTTCCGGTGGATGTGCGGCAGGCGGCTACGAAGATCTCGTAGGCGGTGAGTCGGAGGTCCGAGTCAGTGAGTTGGGCAGAGAGCTGGCCGAGTGGGGAGGGGAGATCGGTGGCCATTGCGGTGATGGGTTTGGTGGGTATGCTGAGTGTTTTGGGGGGTGTGGTGGATGTGGCGGTGGCTGTGGTCCCTCTCTTAGAATGGCCCAGTGAGAGGTCTCTGAAGAGATGAGCCATTGTTGAAGAAGATACAGAGAAGGAGGAGAGAGATGAAGTCCAAGGATTGGACTTTAGTTTATAGTTATACATACTCACACACAACACCACAAAAACAACAGAGAGTGTCTTTTTTTTTTCTCTGACTTTTTGGCTCAGTTAAAAATAATAATAATATTTTTTATTATTTTTTAAATGTGTTTTTTTAACCCTTGTTCTTGTGCCTAGTAGCCTCCTTACCTTAGGTTTTTGGGTGCAAGGTAAAAGTCATATATAGTGAATTGATGTGTCAACAAACTCAAACACGTACAGAGAAAGTGATGGCTGGATATAAAAATATTACCCAGATGATTATGAGTGTGTAGTTTCAACAATCCAATTCACTAACAACAACAAAATAATGATTGAAGACATAAAGATTATATTAATATTTATCGCTTGTATTAAAAAAAAAACCATGTAACAAATCCATGTGACAAATATGTGTATGTGTATAGAACTGGAAAATATAACTTGACATAAATTGAGTATTGAGGGGGAAAAACTTATCGTTTGTTCTCTATGTTACCATGTAACAAATCCATGTGACAAATATGTGTGCGTATTGTTGTGTGGATTTCAGCTGCACCAAAATGGATTAAGCTGCATCCTCAACTTGTGATACTCGCAAGTGCACGAACCGTTGGTAGTTTAGCGTATGTAAGTGCGAGGTCGATCCCACGAGGATTGGTGATTGAATGATTCAATTCATTTTCCCTACACAAAACAGAAATGAAAAAGAAGGGAAATAAATAAAACAAGAAAGAAAGAAAATAACTAACTCAAGTAGATAAGTTCCCAAGTTCAATTAGATTAACGGATTGATTCTAGCTAATGTATGATTAAGCCATGGTGTGTGGTCATAACCTTGTGTTCCTAATTCCCTAATTTGATCATTTGTTGTCTAACCTAAAATTAAGCATTAGGAACCCATTAAGCATAGAAGAACAATTTAAACAACCAAGCATGTATCTAATCCCTGTTGTCGAATGTCCATACATACTCTTCCTATTCATAGTTCAATTCGAATTAAAGCATGGTGTATACTCTTAATTCAAACCAAGATAGCTAACATGCAAGCCTAAATGGTGATCAATAATTCAAACTAGCATATTAACTTATAAGCATAATGAATAAGAACAAAAACCATAATTGAAACTTGGAAACTAATCTGCTTGAGTTAGTTATTTCTTTCTTCCTTGTTATATTTATTTCCTTTCTTTTTCATTTCTGTTTTGTATAGGGAAAATGAATTGGATCATTCAATCACCAATCCCTGTGGAATCGACCTCACACTTACATATGCTATACTACCAATCCAATTCAGTTTTCCTACACAAAACAAAAACAAAAACAAAGAACATGATAGAAGGAAGAAAATAAGAAAGTAACTCAAGCAAGTAAGTTCCCAAGTTCAATTTAGATTAATGGATTGATTCTAGCTAAAGTATGATTAAGTCATGGTGTGTGGTCATAACCTTGTGTTCCTAATTCCCTAGTTTGATCATTTGTTGTCTAACCTAAAATTAAGCATTAGGAACCCATTAAGCGTAGAAGAACAATTTAAACAACCAAGCATGTATCTAGTCCCTGTTGTCGAATGTCCATACATACTCTTCTTATTCATAGTTCAATTCGAATTAAAGCATGGTGTGTACTCTTAATTCAAACCAAGATAGCTAACATGCAAGCCTAAATGTGATCAATCATTCAAACTAGCATATTAACTTATAAGCATAATGAATAAGAACAAAAACCATAGTTGAAACTTGGAAACTAATTCAACTTGAAAACTTAAGAAAAGAATTTACATTACAAAGAAAATTAAAGTGGAACTTGGAAGGACTTAAAGGAAAATTTAGTAAAAGGATTTTTTGTTACAATCAATTGAGAACTAGAAAGGAAAATTAAGAGAATTTGAGGGAGAGAAGGGAGGGGAGCTCTAGAGAAGTGTTTGAGAGCTCCCCCCCTTGGGGTGTGTTTACAAGCTTGGGAAACCTCACTATATATAGGCCTAAGGAAGCTGAAAATCTGAATTAAGTATGGCTAATGCATACAACACTTTGTTTTATAAAATCTGAAATGGTTGATGCACTTGTATTAGAAAATTTGAATTGGTTGATGCACTTCACCAATAGATCCCCCCAGCAGCCCTAGCTCATCTTCATGTCACCATGACCAAGCTTCCAACCAGAAATAATAGCTCATCTTGAGGTCAGCATGACCAGCAACTTCAAGGGCTTACAACTTGGGCTTCTCTTAATCAAATTAGGACTTTAAGCACTCAAACTTGAAGTTCAGAATGTTTTCTTTCCAGCCATATATCATTTGGGCCAATCCAAGGTCGGAGAAGGAAGTTAAGGCCAAAACAAATTGCTAACTCATTTTCCGCGCTGATAAGATCCATCCTGAGCATGGTTCTGTGTTTGCTAGGTAACGGACTCCAGATTTATCCAATGGGGCTGAATTTTGGATATGTTATATTACACACCCATTGGAACAACTTTCATGAAGAATGTGGCCTCATCCGAGCTATGTAGATTGCTGAAACAAAGCTTGCAATATGACCTACGAAACTGGGCTGGCAGGGGACTGTAGCCAAAATTGAGTTTGTCTTTAAGCTCTTCATCCATTCATCCAAATTAGGCCCTAACATGCATGGATTGCATCATTTACTATCCAAAGCCCTCATTATTACCTAAAGCTCAATGAACTGAAAGATAAACACAAAAAGGATTAAAAGCACAAGTTTAACTCAAAAACATAACCAAATCATAAGCTAGAAGGGTACAAAATGATATGTAAATATGCACCGATCACGTATGTGTATAGAACTGGAAAATATAACTTGACATAAATTGAGTATTGAGGGGGAAAAACTTATCGTTTGTTCTCTATGTTAGTTGGACTCTGCAATTTTCTAAAGACAATAACATAACCTGGAAGGCTGGAATTCACCACTCAAAAAAATGGAGAAAATAATATAAACTAGATCCTTATATAGGCTTCAAACAAATTCAACTATGAAACATTAAAGGGAATAAGATACTAAACCTCACACGATAAGAAAATAAGTACATAGGATAGGAAAGAAAATTACCCAAATTCATCTTCGCTTTAAAAGTTTTTTTTTTTTGCTGCTTTCTTACTAGTTTAAGTATTTTTATTTCATTTATTTCTCTTCATATGCATCGACTCTCATCTTACGAATATGACATTGTTTGAAACTTAGAAAAGTCTAACGACGGTAAAATTATATATATTTTTTACAATAATGATATTCTAAACTACTCTAATGTGCAGGGATGTGTTCGAATTTGGGTGCAATAAACATATTGTCTTGGCGAACTGGTCTAACTCACATTTGCACAAATACAAAATTATTTGTTGGTCACAAAAAAGAAAAATCATACTTATACGAGACTATTTACTTAAAATCATACTCATTCGAAACTGAAAAAACTTTGCGTGTCGGCCTTTAGCCCTCCTCTCTATAAAATAAAATAAAAATGAAAAAAACTTTGCGTGCTTCACAATTTAGAATCTACTGTGAGGAAGGATACAAACAAGTTAAAGAAGCCGCGTGAGATGCCGACAGTCTCTCATGGTTCTGGGACTGAAAAGAGGTAGAGATGAAAGCTGGAACATGGAGGCAAAAGGTTGGATATGGACTGTGTGTTCCTTCTTTCGTGGGCTCCACACCTGCTTTTTCTCTTTGTTTTGTTATTATTTCTACTTACAGTACAATACAAGTATTAACAAAGTAATCACAAGGCAGAAGTGATTATGCTTATAAGCACTGTTTTTATAAGTGTTTTTATTAAAAGTATGTATAATCTTTTATTAAAAATTTAAATGCTTCTTGCAAGGAATTTAGAAGTATTTCCTAAATAATTACATTCATGGCATGTATCTGTAATCGAAATTAAAATAAGGAGTTGAATTTCAATTACATATTATTCATGTGTTTACTCTACATAAAGAATTGAGACTGCAAGTGCGTTCCACATGAACTTTTGAATGAGAGGTTGTATTCTAATTCCTGAAGAACTAACTCATCAAGAATTTATCTTTTTACTTATTACCATTCATACCCCAATTCCAAATAGTTTAGTAAACAACTTTAATGGAAATTCGGATTCTAAATCTTCCTTAATTCAATTCCTCATCACCTGATTACGGATTAATAAACATGCCCACAAAGTTTTCTACCAACCGTTAAACACTTGTGATAATCAATAATGAGCTGATCAATATGTTACGTCTACCCAAGTGCAAGTAGTCACACGTAGTAATAATCTTGGAAGTCCAAGTATCGTATCCTCAAGGAGTAGGTAGGCAAATGTCTGGACAAAAAGAAATAATTAAAAGTACCAAAATAAAAGTGACAAGCAAAATGGACTAGTAATTTGATTTGATTGTTGTAGAGATTGAGTTTAAAAATGAAATATCAATAATGGAAATGCTAAGGCATCAAGGTTCAATTCTTTAAGCACAATATGTTTCATGCTCTTTAATCCAAATTAAACTTGATTAAAATTATCAATGAGAAACTTTAACCGGAAGATAAAGAAATTAAAACCAATTTACTTTTTCAATGTTATCTTTTATTAATGATTGTTCAGAAAATGGAGTTGCTTAATATCTAATTTTTTAATTTAAAAGCATGCTAAATCAGTTCTTAACAATGAGAAAAATATAATTGAACTCATGAAAAGATAGTAGCACTTAACATCAATCAAAATAAAAGGGTATGAAATTATTGAACAACCAAAAATAAAAGAATTTGGCAATTCATACCGTATATTGGATTAATAACAACTCACAAACTTACTCAAAGGACATTCTCTTTAGCCTTAGCTAGAGTTCTAGAAACTCATTACAAAGGAAAACATAACTAAATTTTTGAATGAAATGATAAAGAAATATGTCGTGGAGGTTCCCTTGCCAAATAAGTTGATGAGTGATTTATAGTAGTCAATGAGGTGAGTGGGAAGTTAATACATTCGTAGTGGGTAATGAAGGGTTTAAGTGGGTGATTAATTGGATTAAACATGTGATGATGGTGGAGAGTTGGTGGAAAAGAAATAACGGTGAGGTAGTGGGCGTTAAATGGCTATGAATGACATGAAATAGGCTCTTTAGCTTCAACGGTTTTGTCTTCTCTTCTCCTTCTTTATAATCACAATAATCCCACAGTCAATTCTTCAATAAAATCCACCAACAATTCTCTTCACACCTAGCTTGAACTTGGACAAATGTTTGTTCATCTTTTGACTTTTCAACTTCTTACAAAAGATAAATTTACCTAAAAAGTTCACCAAATTAATATAGAAAATTCATAAATCCAGTTGGTGAGAATAAAATGTAACGACAAGTGAAATTATGTTTATTAAGCCAAAATTATATCATAAAGTCTCCAAAATAATATTAAAAAGATGTAATTTGAGACTCTCAAAAAGTTCACCAAATTAATATAGAAAATTCATAAATTCAGTTTGTGAGAATAAAATGTAACGACAAGTGAAATTATGTTTATTAAGCCAAAATTATATCATAAAGTCTCCAAAATAATATTTAAAAAATATAATTTGAGACTCTCATCACAATACTATCATACTGTAGATCCCGTAGGCATCACAATAATTATAATAATTATAATAATTTTTTGTTATCCTAAAAAAATATGCTGGAATGTGATTGCATGCATTACAATATTAATAATAAATGTCATCATTTGTATAGTCAAAGCGAAGGTTACAAATTACAATGACAGTTGGTCGAATAATTATATCTGACTCACAATTTTAATACATTAATTAATAATAGAAAAACATTGGTGACTGACTGGTTACTACACGACAACATGGCACACATGGTTTGAGAATGCTCATATGCTGCTGCTTCCTAATCACTCATGATGATTACAAATAATTCAAGAAAAATTGTCATTGTCTTAGTCCTCCTAACTCTCAACCTTTTGTTTTGATTCATTCTTACTTCAATTCAAACTTTACTAAATAAAATACAAAATATAATTACCAAGGTTTTTTTTGATAAAATCTCATATTTATTTAGCATTGTAGGTTGTTAAGTTAAAAACAATATCGGTGTTGCTAATCATGGATTAGTGATCCATTTATCTAAAATTTAACATGATATCTGATGGGTTGATTGATTGGGCCTAAATTGGGCCTTTACCCTTACTCAATTTGTGGTATTCACATGTTGGGCTTAAATATTTACCCATATATTTCATCCAATACGTGGTGTTCACGTGTTGGGCTTAAATGATTAACTCCGATGTAAACTTAGCTCCACATGTGGCTCACTATATGGTGGTCTTACGTAAGGAGGTGTGTTGAAAAATATAAAATCTCACATAGGAAGCTTTACTAAATAAAATACAAAACATAATGAATGGTTTTACTAATAATATCATTGAGATCTTTTGTGATAAAACCCCACACATACTTGGCTTTGTAGGTGGTTAAGTTATAGACAATATCAGTATTGCTAGTAGTGGGCCGATGACCCATCTCTCTGAAATTTAACAGAAAACAAATAGTATGTCGTTAAGAAAAACACTACATGCCAAACCTTTATGACGTCGTTTACAATAGCGTCCATCAACTATACTTTTTAAATACATTCGAATATATTTTCTCTCTGTGTGTCACACTCTCATCTTCCAATTGGGAGAGAAGATAAATGAGTTTCGCCTAGTTCTCCAACTCTCCATTAGTGAACCCACACATCTCATCTCTCCCATCTCATAGTTTAGAAGCATGTTTGTAACAGATTAAGATGGGGTGTGGTGTGGTGGTGTTTATTCTTTTTAGGGTTATTTGCAACAATGATCTCTCAACTATACCCGTAGTTACAATTTGGTCACTCAATTCAATTATTAGTTGCAGAGGTCACTCAAGTAGGTGTTTTGTTGCATCATTAGTCCTACCGTCAAGTCTGTGACTTTTTCTGTTTAAAATGATGACGTGACAAGCATCTCTTAGATTATTGATGGGCAAATGTGACTTTTCAGTTATGATTATTTTTAGCAATGATCCCTTAACTATATTCGGAGTTACATTTTGGTCACTCAACTCCAAAAATAGTTACAGAGATCACTCAATTAGGTGTTGCGTTGCACCATTAGTTCCTACCGTTAAAAAGACTTGACGGTAGGAACTAACTGTGCAACACAACATTCAATTGAGTGACATCTGTAACTAATAATTGAATTGAGTGACCAAACTGTAACTACGAGTATAGTTGATGTACCATTGCTGCGAATAACCTTCTTCTTAACATGGCGTAGTCTATTCTCATCTCTCTCATCTCTTGTCAATCTAAACCAAAAACCAGAGACATGTCTAAGCTGGGTGATGACGAACTAGGCCTCATCCTTAACTGGATCACCGACCTAAATAACAGACGATCATTTTCTGAGGTCTGCAAGCAATGGCTGAGAGTGGAGGGGCTAAATAGATCATCACTTCGTCTTCTCGAACCCGATGCTCTCCTTCAAGTCTTACCCAGATTCCCAAATTTAGTCACATTCGAAACATCAAAGTTCATCACCGACGCGGACCTCGCATTCGTGGCCCAAACATGCCCCAAAATCGAGGTAATCAACCTCAGTCTGAAAACCCCACGTGAAATTTCATACCAATTTGATGAAGTATTGATCTTTGATAATGTTGGAGACGAAGGTCTTTGCGCTTTGGCAAAGAGGTGTCCCAAATTGTCCAAGGTTTTGCTCAGAAGGAGAAAGAATATTGGGAATTTTGGAGTTGTTTCGCTATTGAATTTATTACATAATTTGACGTATTTGGATTTGGGATTTTGTAGCTTGGTCTCGGACCAAGCCCTAGAAGCAATTGGGTCTGCAAATTCGATTAGCGTTTTGAATTTTCAAGGTTGTTCATTGATTACAGATCGTGGATTGGGGTTTTTGGCAAATGGGTCTTCCTCAAAAACCATGAAAAGGTTGAATCTTGCAGAGTGTGATAGAATCACAGACTTTGGGGTCTCCCGTTTGGAGCAAATGTGTTGCTTGGTGGAGCTGAATTTAGCTGAATGTGGCCCAAAAGTGACTGATATTGGAGGTCTTTCAATTGCTGCAATTCAGTCTCTTAAAAAATTGAACTTGTCATGGCTGGTCAATGTGTCAGATCATACGCTTGTTGCTCTAGCTGAGAATTGCCTGAATTTGGAGATGGTTGATTTAACTGGTTGTGATTTGGTAACTGGAGCTGGCATTCGTGCATTTGCAGGTCACATGTGCTTAGAAGCTCTTGTTCTGCGTTCTTGCTTCAATGTTAGTGACTCTGATGTGGTAAACATTGTGCTTAGATGCCAGTTCTTGAAGTCTGTTGTGTTGGATAAGGGACTGAGAATATGGATGTTGCCTCAGACACAAGAGAGCATTAGCAGATTCGTGGAGTTAGTTTGGGCTTGAAAGATGGATGCAGCAAGCAGCTGAGTTGATGTGTTTTGGGTTGTGCTCTGCCGCTTCATGGATTCAGCCAACTTGTATATATCAGTCTCTCTAACATCAGATGAAGAAGTTTATCCATGTTGGAGCTTTCAAAGACTTTGGAGTAAAACTTATATCATGTTTCATATTCCTCTCTCAATTTCGAGTTAGAAGAGAAAGGTGTATGAAACATGGGATATGCAAGTTTTTTTGAAGAATTTGAGATGTAGTGCTATAAATTCCTTGAACATTTTCTCTTTCAGTGGATGATTGGATTCTACCAACTTGTACTTTTAGGAGATGGGAGCTGTAATTGTTTATACAGATTCATATATGAAATCCTTTATTTGTAAACTTAAGAGATAAGATACCACATGCCTGTTAACTTTACCATTCCACTAAATAATGTTTAGGTTAAGCTACACATAAAGTTTGTGCTCAATTTGTTAGGGACAAAAGTAAACAATGATGGGTATGGCTGTAGAGTTCCATTCCATTACATACATGATAAGTTGTATAGTTTTGCCATCAAACAGCAATTGAGATGTAGAAGAAAGCTCTGTTTCTTTTAGGGTTTGGGCCAGCCCATCTGCACTGGTCGTGCCATGGCCCAATTAAGAGGGTATGATTATAAGGAGGCACCTGCAGCCTTCGATTATATTTGTTACAACTTCAGAATAATAAGAGGGAGAAAATAAAAATAAAATAAATGGGGTCATCTTGCACATTGAGAGCCTTAGGTGCAATTCTTCACAGATTCACTAATGGGGTCTCCTCCAAATGCCCCAACTCCATGGCTCTTCAGTGTATACATATCTTCATCTTCTTCCCTCTCCTTCAATTCTGAATTGCACCATTCTAATTTTCATTATGAAAGTTGAATTTGGAGCTCACTTTGTGGTTCAGGGAATGGCCTGCTGAGTAGAAAGTTATCATCTTCATCTTCAATTTCATCATTGCCTTCATGGATTTCGACCCACATACATGGCAGTGCTACTGTGACAAGAACCATATGGACCGTCTCTCCTCTCTCTATGGGCAGACGTTCCAGCAAAATCGCTGGCCGAAAGGTACTCTCTTTCTGCTTTGCCAGTTGAATGCCACCTGTTTGATGAAAGTCCCATGTCCGTGTGTCAGCGTTTCGTAATCTGTATAATGTCCTAATAAAGTTCAAGGGTCATTTGATTTGTTGGGTTTATTTTGAAAGTTGTCAAATTGGTAATGCAGGGGGCTCAAGATGCAAAGAAGGCAAAGCTGTATGCGAGGATTGGGAAGGAAGTTGTGTCTGCGTAAGTTAGTTGCTCTCTCTGTCTTTTTCTTTTAGGGATCTTAGCACTGAACCACTGCTCATAGGATATTCAGTCTGTCAGGTGACAGTTTATCTAGTTGCTGATTTAGCATTGGTCAAGCTCTAATCTTGATCTGTATAAAGACCAAAGTAATCTCCTAATTCATAATTAATGAGAATTAAGTAAAGTTTCATAGTTTCAACAATGAGGGCTAAGGCTATCGGGTATTGTACTCTGCCTTTAACTTTTTGTTGTGCCAAAATGGTGCAGTGTAAAGAAAGGTGGTCCAAGTCCTGTATCAAATACGGCACTGGCTACTGTGCTGGAGAAAGCCAAGGAGCTTGATGTACCCAAGGAAATTTTGGAGCGCAACATTAAGAGAGCATCTGAGAAAGGACAAGAAGCTTACATTGAGAAAGTATACGAGGTTTGTATCATGCTAGTCCTGCTTGAACGTTTCATGTTCATGATTTTATTGGTTGATATTATATAGTCGACTACATATACTGCTTCTTGTGTCAGGTATATGGTTTTGGTGGAGCTAGTATGGTAATTGAGGTTTTGACCGACAAAATAAACCGATCTGTGGCAGCGGTTAGAGAGGTGGTGAAGGACTGTGGGGGAAAGATGGCAGATCCGGGATCTGTTTTGTTCAAATTCAGGCGTGCTCGGGTTGTAAACATAAAAGTTTCAGATGCTGACAAAGATCAACTCCTTTCCATTGCTTTAGATGCTGGTGCTGAGGATGTTATTGAACCGCCAGTATATGAAGATGACACTGAAGAAGATATGTCAGAAAGGTAATTCCACTAGAGAGCTAGATTGCTCATGTGTTGTAGTTGTGATCTTAACTCTAATTTCTCTGGTTTTTCTTAACCAATATATAACTCTGCTAAATTGAAATGATACAATATATGAGTCTTGACCCATTTCACTCTGCCTGTAAACACAAGATTTTCACTTCTGATAATAGATTTCATGCTCATTAAATGGGAGGCTCAGCTTAACCGATATGTGTTATAAAGTTGATTATGTATCCAACCATTTGTGGGCACTTGGTTCAGTCAGTGAAAGGTGGATCTATGCATATTCTCCCGAGAACTTAGATGCTTTTATTAGAAAAAGAAGAGAGTTGTGGACAAACAAGCATGCACGCACACATACACACAAATCATTGTGAAGTATTATCCTTTCTTTATACAAAATTCTGATTTTTATTTTTTTTATTTTGGTTTCTGGTAGCTATTATAAAATTGTAAGTTCAGCAGAGAACTACTCAACGATACTTTCAAAGCTGCGTGACGGAGGAGTAAGTTTTGAGACGGATAATGGTTCTGAGCTACTTCCAATAAGCACTATTGAGGTGTGTCTCTGATGCACAGATGATTGCTATGACTTTGATCTCTTACAAGGCTTATGTCTTGGGTTTCTTTCTTCTTCTCCTCCCCAACTCCCCCCTGCGGATTTGTTTCTCCTGTCTGTACAAATTTATAAGCCCCTTGCGAGCATTCAAGCTAAAACTTCTGGTCTGATGCAGGTAGATGACGAGGCTTTGGACTTGAACAAGGAACTTATGTCCAAATTACTTGAGCTTGACGATGTTGATGCAGTGTATACTGACCAGAAGTGACCAAAATCTCGATCTTTAGTCATCATCTAAGCGATTGAATCGAGCTATTGGCCTTATAATACATCTATCCGGTTCGTTTTCATTTGACCTTTTTTATCTCGAGGAAAGTATATCTGTCAGACCATTTAAAGAGGAGAGAAGGATAGGGGTTGTTACCTTTCTGTTCTCTCTAGGAAGAAATTTTGATCTGCCGTATTTTCATTACTAGTGAAATTATGAGGAAGAAGAGCAAAAATTGAATATGATTTGTTTTTGGAGAACAAAAAAAAACCATGAATAACAATATAAGGTTTGAATCTCTCTCTCTCTCTCTCTCTCTCTCTCTCGCACACTCAGAGGCTAAACTTGTCAAGAATCCACGCTTGCCACCTTCAAAACGAGCAAATTTTCACTCCAAGACATACCTTTTAATTTTCTTCTTCGTCTTGTTATTATTATTATTTTTTATCTCTTCCTGCATGTATGGGTCGTCCGTCAACGTTAATTAATGATAATTTTGCTTCCACCAACTTATGACTGGTGGCTCTACAAAATTGTTTTATGCGGCAATTGGTAAATAACAAGGCTTTACTAATTAGAGCATCTAGATTAACAGAGGATCTAGTTGGTAAAGATGCTTTGTTTTGTTTTTGTTTTTTAGTACACGCGATGGGAGAGGGGTTTACAGAAATATTCATTGGGTGCTTAGGGTTTTCGAAGTGGAGGTGGAAGAGCTCAACTCAACCAACTAAGCTAAAGATGCTTTGTTGTTTTTGTCCATTGTGGGGTTTTACAGAAATATTAATTGGTTGTCAAGGGGTTTCGAACCATTGTCTACATGAGCGGAGGTGAAAGAGTTCAACCAATTGAGCTAAAGATGCTCTGTTGTTTTTGTACAACATATATTGGACAATTTCTTTAATGATATTGTAAAGGTTCATGTTTGCTCCTGCTGTAATTATGAAATAAGATGGTTTTAATAATTAATTAACTTGGTGAAGGCGTTGGCAAAGTTACAAGGCCACTGCGAGCCCCCACAAGCATAAATAGATCTATTCCCTACTTTTCTCCCATGTCCCTTCCCTCTTCACTCTTGCCTCTTCCATGGAAGAAGGCTTATGCTGCAATGCCCATCCCTCTTCCATGTCATAAACTGTTGTCGTACTTAGTTTGCTCGTGCCTTAATCATATGGATTATCAAGTGAATTAAAATATTTAACATAGTTTAATCAAGCTCATCAATGTACGTGCACACGATTTAACCAACAAATATACTGATGGGTTGGAAAAAAAACCAAATATACTGATTGAGCTTTCAATACTGGGACTTATTACATAACTTGCTTGCAACACTCGCTACAAATAATAAATAAAAACATATTTATCACACAACTAATTATAATATATGAGACTACTTAGGCTTACTTATCTATATCCGCATGTTATTATTGTGCGGACGCCATTGTAAACAGGGAGGAAATCAAAGAGGGGTTGTAGAAAATACATGGCGTCCGTATGTCCGCACATACACATCCACATACGAGAAAATCTGTTTCTACGTATACCTAAACCATGAGCTATACAATCAATGCAGTCCAAGTAGAAACATTTTTTCTTTTCTCCTGGCTAGCCTCTGAAGTAGAATTCGCATGAACTATATATCTAGGTCTTTGAATATATAATCACTTTATTTGGAGGGAACCCAGCATCCATGCAGCCCATATGGAAGGCCATAGGGGAACTTAGCTCTTGCAATCTCTTGGAACGTGGATCCATCTAATAACAATGCATACCCATCTCCATTTTTCGCACTAATCATCGAGATTACAACTCCTGCAGCCACAAAAATTAAATCATTAATAAAACCCTTTTCCTGATAAATATATATATATATATAATGGACAATATAATTACAGCATTAATTAATTCTCACCATCATCTTCTTCGGTTGCCCCGGGTCGAGCCACAAAGAATGGTTCGGAGGGTACTGCCCCTTCATCATGCCAATTCTTAGCCTTCTTGTTCACCAAATCAATCTGCAATTTATATTTAAATTAGTTAACTTATAATGTTTGTGTACCATTAATTATTTAATTAGTTTGATTATATATGATATACCATACCTTGGTGAGGGTGTTGGGGAAGTTGCATGGGCGCTGAGCCCCACAAGCATAAGCATATCTGTATTGTTTGCCCAAGTAGGCAGGGTTTATGCTGCACATGTCCAACCCTCTTCCATGTTCATTTGGGTCTAATGCTGATTCCAATTTTCCATATGCACTTCCATCAAATGGTATTCTAAACCTTCCAACCCTGCGTTTTTAAAAGGCCAAACAAGTTAATGACCTAGCTCCACATTAATGTTAAGTACACAAGAATGAACCTTATTACGTAAATCAGATTCACAATCCAACAACATGAGCCGTAATAAAAAAAATATAAATACCTAGCATCTGGCAATACATCTTGGCCAATGTATGAGCGTAGGTTCTGTATCCTCAGCTTATCCAGAATCGTTGTATCAGCGTTGTGCTCACAACAATCTGCAATAACCGCCGTCACCCTCCCATCCTCATCTTTTTCTTCATAAGCATTTATGAAATGGAACGTTATGTATAATGGCACTTCCACACTCGCCACCTACAAAATTAAAATTAAAATTAAATCAACATCAATTTTGTTTATAAAAGTGTATAACTAATTACTTCCATATGATATAAAAATACAATCGCATATATAATTATCAAATAGAGCAAATCAGTGGGACTTACAATGTTGCCACTAGCTTTACACATGACATGCATAAATGCTTTAGATTCAGGGTGCCACTCAAACTTGTACAATGGTGTGGGCTCAGCCTTGAGCAAATTCCCAGCACAATATCTCAATGGCATTTCCGGCACAATTATATAGTGCTCGGTCACCGGAAATGAGTGCACCCAACCTGGTGCTGGTCCACGACTACAATCAACCCGCCCAATCACCTTCCTCTCGTTAGTGCCCGGTTCCATCCTGACCGCCAAATAACCCGGGTTGATCAAATCGGGTAGTAAAGACAGAAATTCGGTCTCTGTCACAATAGGATGTGCCGAGTGTATCAAACCCCCCAATGTGTCACTGTACTCAAATTTCCCTAACGTGTCCAAGGTGGCTGGGTCAATCACTATGGACCCTTTCTGGGTCTCCGTGAGGCACACGACCCGGCCATCTGCAAGCATGACCACTCCGGTATTGGCGTTGTCGGTCAGAGATGCACCGGAGAATAGGTTGGCTAACTCTCCTATGTAAGATAGGAAATTGTCGGGCTTAGGAACCTCCGAGAATTCACGGTAACATAACTTTTGGGTCTTCATGGCAGCCTTGTAGGCCTCAGATTCAATTTGGCGGTGGCCGGCGATGAGGTGGCCGTCTTCAAACTGGAGTTTGACTAGCATGGCGTAGCCGTCAAAGAGGTGGCGGAAGTTGTAGTCCCCAATGTGCCATAGCCCTGGACCATTTCTTAAGTACGTCCCTTTCTGCATGTGACATTAATTTAATTATGACCTAGCTATATTAAATAAAGCGCACTAGTAACAAAATGGTGGTTGATTAATTAAGATTATTCTTTGTCTAGAATTGAAAATATTTTGTACTATTGGTGTTCACAAATATTAATTATAGTTCCAAGGGATTAGAAAATAGATATGAAATGTGACTTGGATACGTAAATTCAACCTCAAGTATAAAAATAGTGGTAATAAAATAATTGAAATGGGAAATATACTTTTGCCAGCTCCACGTCTTTCTGACACATTATAATGTGTGGCGACAGTATGATGATCAGTTGATTAATTCACTAATCAGACAAGGTTAGCTTATAATTACAAATTTTGCCAGCAAGAAACACACCAGTCATTATGGACAAGCTTCTCTATCTGTGCGTGGTAGGCCTCTCACTCACGAAGCAATAAAGACTAGGAAGAAAAAGGATTAAAATAAGGTAATAAGAAAAAGGGTTGCTTTCTACAATCTAATTCGGCCTTCTTCTATTCCTATTTCCTGCATTAAAATGTTTGTCGACATACCCATTTGGCTTACAAGATAGTAACTCATTTGGCTCCTTTATTTTGTACCCTATGTGTCTATTTGGATTGTTCTCTTATTAGCGTCGTTGGCCTCCACAAAAGTAAAATTTTGTCTTCGTAATACATAAAAGATGTTTACGTTGACGTACTATCTACTTAAAATCATTTATCAGACGAGATGATTTTTTTTTTAATAGAATGTATGGTTCAAGTTCACAGTTTAGTGATATAAGTCTGATAAGAAGGATTATAACGAAAATTGTACATTAAACTATATATGAAATCTTTGATATAGAATAAAGAAGTATAAGTTAATTAAGTTATGCTCACATACCAGCCACAATGGTATTTCTCCTTGGACAAGCAGCTCTCCTTCCCATCTCTCCTGCCGCACGCTGGTCCATGCCACGTGGCTCCGGTCGCCACTATTGCCGCTGTCTCTTCTCGGCAGCAGCAGAGGAGCCACAGCCGGTAATGGCGGACTTGCGACATTCGTGGACACCAAGCCCCGACCATTGTGTTTCTTTCTAGTGTCACTCAAGTTCTTCTTCAATGGATTAAAGCCATCTCTTATATTTTGATTGGAGTAATCGGAAACAGAAGCTGTTGGCAGAAAAAAGGAGATTCCAGAAGTGCCTGAAAATGTTATGGAAGCCATGAAAGCAAAGACTAGCAGAGAGACGAGCTAAGACTAAGCAGAAGTGTATTAAAAGTGGGTTAAAGAGTGTGAGGTGTAATTGGTATTTATATATGTGAAGGAGGGCCTGCACATAGGGCAAGTTATATAATTACGAAACTATATATGCCACATGTCCTATGCGATGCGTTTACATGTTGGAATCTTAACTGGTGGAATTCCCTTTCACTACCAGACATAGCTTATTATGCCATAATTTTTTTTTAACATTTCTGAGAAAATATCGACATTTGAATCTAGTGCGAATACCTCCAAATAAATTATGTTGGTCTTCCCAAACAGTCACATAATTAACAAGTAATACACATATATGCTGAATAGGTTTTAATTTTTAATTTTCTACATAGTTTTTATGTGGAAATGAGTCGATAATTGGCCGGATAATATTCTCTTGTTAGATATCTGATATGTTGTGTTAATGCGATGGTTTGATAAAGGTCCAATTTCTTGAGAGGTTGAGCCCAATTTTTTGATGGTTTTGCATTTTTCTTGATCGTTAGAGTTTTAAATTGAAAAATCAATTTATTTTTTATTAATCTTTACAGGTGTTCTGGCTTA